TTTTTTGTTATTCGTTTTTGTTTTTAGTTTTCAACTCAAGAGCACATTAATTTTATTATTATTTTTATATTCACGTGTAAATTTCTCGTTGACATCTTAAATACTAAATATTATGTACAAATATCCATCGGTAGAGTTAGTTGTATATAGGTGTTTATATTTTTTTGTTATTCGTTTTTGTTTTTAGTTTTCAACTCAAGAGCACATTAATTTTATTATTATTTTTATATTCACGTGTAAATTTCTCGTTGACATCTTAAATACTAAATATTATGTACAAATATCCATCGGTAGAGTTAGTTGTATATAGGTGTGTATATCTGTGTGTCCTTATGTGGTTGTGTGTGTAAGTGTTCCTTTCAAGCACTAAATAAACATAATAAGTATCAGATTGCTTTTGGTAATAGCATTTGTAAATAGATTTGTTTAAATTGTTTTAGTTTAAGCGATTGCGAAGTCTGTTGTCTGTTTATATATATGTATATATATATATATGTGTTTGTATATATATGTCTGCATGTATATATGGAAGGAACAATGGACGACATTTGAGTGCGCAATGCAATTGGGCATCACAATGTTTGTCGTTGTGTTTGTGTGTGTGTGTGATTGATTGATTGATTGARAGATCACTGCAACGAGTACATCAAGCTTAAGTCTGTAAATAATAATTGAAATTTAATGAGTATGCAGTAGTCGAAAATAATAATTGATAGCTACTCATTGCAGCTTTCTGTTAAGTACATAATTAATTTGTTAATTAATGAATCATTATTAGTAAAAAGTAATCGCAACATAAATGCGTAACATCAAGTTTTAACAAATGACAAATATTTTTCTTCATATTTTTTGCTGACTTTCGTTTATGGCTAAGAACATTAACTACACAAAAACATGTAACGGCTAAAACGCTTAAACAAAATTCGTTTCACAACTGTTTTTTATCATTAATCATTTTTTAAATATTAACAAACATTCATGTGAGTGTGAGAATATGACTTAAAAAACATTTAAACATTTTGTTTTATGTTCTTCTATGTTTTGCAAGCCATATCATATCATAGTTAATAACATTCGTTAATTAGTTTGTTAGGTGTACTAATACATAGACGTTATTTAGTTGCTTCCAACTCTGGACAAGACACACATTCAGCAAATGGCTCATATCATCAATATGTTAGTGATAGATCGCTCTAAAACATGGACCAGATATGGGTATTACGTGCATAGAAAAAAACTATTTACAGTGTGCGTTGTTTTTTATAGTTAGGCTAAGTTCTGTCGATTAAGCTTAATTATCCGTATGATGATAATGCTGCTGCTGCTGCTGTTGCTGCTGTTGCTGCTGCTGATAATGCATAGAGGAGCCCGGCTGTGTACTCGATGAAACGGCTGCTGATGTTGTTGTTGTTGTTGCTGCTGGCTTGATCGCTGGCTTGATATCATCGATTTGTATTAGATGTTCGATGGGTATTAGAGACAGCTCGCCGCCCACGGGCTGCGGCATTGGCAGCTTAGCCAGAGCCTGGGAGAAGAGAAGATAATTAAAATTCAAAATCTTTTCACTTAGCGTAACTCATGAATCCAAAATGTGTACCTTGGCATGCTCCACAGCAATTGTGGCTGCCTTTTCCGCCTCGCGCTGTCGCCGCTCCTTGAGCTTGAGCGAGAATATGGCCACAGATCTCGCGCTCTTAACCAGCTTTTGTTTAAGCCGCGATTTCTTGGCCGCCAACTCGGCAGCTAGAAATGAAATGAATAATTAGTTTTAATATATGCAGGGAGCTGAACAAACTTACCCTTTGTCTCATCGTCTGTATTGCCAGCGGATGTGGATGCAGTGGCTGCCGCTGCCGCCTGCTCCTGCTCCTTCTCTCGCTCCTCCTTGGCCTCCTTTGCCTGCTTCGCCTGCTGCTGCTGCTGCTGTTGCTGTTGCTTATGCGATGAACTCGATGAGGAATTGGATAAAGCGCCCACACTGGGTCGTGACTGTGAATTGCTGATGCCGCTGCTGCTGCTGGCTGCGGCGACGACTGGGCCCACGCTACTCGGACTGAAAACGCTGCCACCGCCGCCCGACGACGACGATGAGGAGGCGACAATTTGCTGAGCAGCTGGGGGCGTGGCCAGCATAATACCCGGAGCGCCTGTCTTCAAGGCCACGTTGCTCCAGGATGGCGCCGGCTTCAATATGTCTGAGTTGTCCGCCGTGTTGCCGAGCTCCTTGAGTATCAAAATATATTACATGTAGAATGATATGAAGGATTAGGCTTGAAGGTTCATAGGTCGACATTAAATGCTCGCAACGCTACACACACACTCAAAGCTTAAGGCATGCATAGATTATGAATGGATGAGCACTTGAAGCCAGCGTGAAATTGTTTTCTAGGTGTTATTTTTTTACGATTAACGACATAAAGCAACTGCCATGCCCAAATCAAAGCTTAACGTATATTTTCTATATAGCTATAGCTGCCTGCAAATTGAATCCAACTCTGAACCAAATGAAGCTTCAATTGCAATGCAAACAGCAAGGACAACAGTTTATATTTATATATA